CATGAGAATCAGAGCTGCCACACAATAAGTCAACTTCCACTGGTCTAAGTCCACCGGTGATGTGTCCCTTAACCAATCACTGGGCAAATATCCWATAAATAACTCTGTCACCAGTACTTCAGTTACACCTAGCCACCTACACGCACTCATCTCGTGCCATACAGGAGTCAAAACAAATGCACATCTTGGAGATATAGGAATAAGTATTTGTGGATATGTTCCACTGACACCTGACATCAGACATTTCTTTCTATTCCCATACATCAAAACAAACTTAAAACCAAGCCATCAGGTTTAAATGTGCTGCTGCTTGTTTTTATCAATATATTTCTCTGCTTCATCACACTAATATTATGAGTCTGGTTGCTGCTGCCAGCCTTTTCTCATCTCACCTGCATAGTTTTGCAACACAACCTGATGTTGCTGTCATGCACACGAGTGTTAAGATGTGCACATGCTCTTTATTATTGTTGTGATGTGGCAGCTGGTCTTGTGTCTGGTTTCTATGGGTACCCTGTTGCCAGGCAAAGTTAAGCCCCCTGGCCAATGAACCCAACCTACTGAGCACCTTCTGTTCAGCAGCTGCCCAGGAGGGAGTCAGAGTCTGCAAAGTCACAGACTGAGCAATCACACACCCACACCCAGACACACGCACACCTGCAATCATGCCATGAGGTAAAGTCTTATGCAAATTCATTCTCATTTGTTTGAACATTTGAATCTCCCCATCAGTCTGCATTGGGTTTGTCTGATATGATGGCAAGAAGTTAAATAAAACTACAGAGATTGCAAAGTTATCTTGTGTGGAAATTGTTTCTAAAACACATTCAGATTATGAGCACATTTGCATCACATTGCACAGTAACACACACATGCATAAGCAGATGTACAAATTCCTCTAACCCATTAACCCACATATCTTGGTCATCGTCTTTAATAGTTTATTTAGGCCAGTTTATCCCAGATTGATTTGTWGGCAGGGGAGGCCCCCATGGTGTGTGGGCATTCGACCTATTCAGGGTTAAATTTAAATCAATGCTTTGCCCTAAAGGTTTGTGTTGTCAGTGTCATTAACAGGTCTGATAATACAAACTTAACTCTATTTTTTTTTTTCATTTGAACCACTTGTTCAGGATGAACTTAAAACACACAGATAGGATGAACAGCTGAGAAGGATGCTGAGGGATAATTTTCCATTGTAAAATAAAAATCCACAGTTTCTTCCATTTAACCTCTTTTCTCTCTTCTTTTGCTCTTACAGAACAGGTGAGGACATAGCAACAGAAGGCAAGCACTTGCGAATGGGCTCAATAACCATGCCTGACCCCCAGGAATGCATGCCCTTGCCCCACCTGCATGCCATCGCCTGTGGGCAAGGCTTTTCGGTGCGCTCCCAATCCCTCCACTCGGTTGGCGGCGGGAACAGTGGAGGAGGCGGAGACGAGGAAGTGGGAAGCCCAACCTCCAGGAAGCAGCCTCCACCCAAACCCAGGAGGGACCCGGCCACCAAGCTGAGCATGTCGTCGGAGGCGGTGGACCACAGTGTTTCGTCCATCTGCCGTGGAGAGAGATGTGATGGTGAGTGGTGGTGGCACCTCACACCAAACTGCTGCAGCTATATATAGCTGGTCTTTGCTTTTCCCTCTTCAGCACTGTTGCCTTGTCATTATTTAAAAAAGGGGTTTTTAACAATGACAAGCCATCCAGTTATTCACAAAAAATCCCACTGTAGTGAATAGATAGGTGCAAATTAAGATAGGAAACAAGGTACAATGGCTTATAAACAATAACTACACCACACTTTGCATTTCCCAAACTATAATATAAATATAATATATGTTATTATTAGGAGTGCAACAATACAAAAAATTCACTAATCGGTTCAGTTCAATAATTTAGTCAAACGGTTCGATATTTTTCGATACAAAAAAAGAGAAATGTCCATACCCCTTTTAACTTGAAATTCATTTAAATTAATTATAAACATTTGTTTAACATCAAAAGGCCAGTTTTTTAAAGTAAATGTTGCTGAAACACCAAGTTTGTCAATGGGTCTGCACTCGACAGCCGCCTAGGTGGAGTAGTCGAACAGAGATGCTCTGATTCTTCAACACAGAGCATCTTCAGAGGACAAGTTGATAAAATAAATTTTAAAAACGTGAATTGTTCGATACGAGTGTGTACTGAACCTAAAGCACTGTATTGAACAGTTCAATACGGGTACATGTATTGTTGCACCCCTGATTATTATACTACCTACATAGTCTAACACATCGTGGCCAATTAGCCGAATAGTGGGTGATCATACTCTCATCAGGCTTTAACATGCATGTTCAAATAAGCTGGATACTCTGACCTTATATTCTGCAAGGCTCAGAAACTCGGAAGAGAAGAAATACCTTTAGTGGACTTGGTGTGGTAATTGTACTCTGGTTTAGTTCTTTGGAAAACTATATTTGTTCACTAGGGTGACAATGGTGGCTCAGTTGGTAGAGCTGTTGCCTCCCAGCAAGAAGGTTACTGGATCAAATCCCAACCTTGGGACCTTTCTTGGGTAGAGTTTGCATGTTTTTGTGTATGCATGAGTTTCCTCCCACAGAACAAAATCCCCCAAAATGCACGCCAGCCTAGTTGGAAACCATCCTTAGGTGAGAGTATAAATGGTTGTTTGCTTTTCTCTATGTAGCCCTGTGATAGACTTGCAACTTGTCGAGGGTACCCCACCCCTTGCACAGTTACTGTAGACACTAGTGACCCCCATGACCCTGAAAGAAAGAAAGAAAGAAATGGGTGGATAGACATTTATCCCAACTCATACTTGTGGCTGAGCTGGAAGTAACCACATCATGCTATTAGTCCACTGCTTTTTGTCATTTAAATAAATAAATGCCTTTTTGCAGTACTTTATATTTAGTAGCAATGACATGATTCCTATCAGGGTGTGTATTAATCAAAGTCTTTTAAATTAAGATGTCATGATCATTTTAACCATTTAGAAGAAGAAAATGTGATACAACCTGTCCAAACATCACATGCTGAGGATGTCCTAAAAAATCTTTTCAAAACAAATCCAAAAAAAGTTAAAAACAAATCAAAAATATTTGTTTTAAGTGTGATATTTGCAAGCCTAATTGCAAACTTTTATATTATGTGTGGCCTTGGAGGCAGGTGTCAACAAAAAAAAAAAAGGTTGTATGAAGCTTTAACTTCCTTTCAAGTTGTATGTTTTGCTGCCAATGTGATGTTGAGGGAGTCACCGAGCCTGGCTCAGATTGGTGGGGATGTCTGTGTGCACGCAGATCTTCCTGGGCACCACGGCAACCATCCCACAGAAAYAAGACCCCCTGTAGCCCAGCCAATCGCGACGTCGCTCAGCAGCCCGGGCCAATGGGACTTGGAGAGCGTGGAAGTCGGCGCTTTTGCAACCAATCGGAGAGAGAATGTGGGGGTGTTCCTGGCTGAGCATAGGCTTGCGTGTGCTGTAGCTGGTGCCTTGATGGGGAAGGGAGGAGCTTGTCGGAGTAGAATTCATTCAGGAGGAGCGATTGACCTAGATTTGTTTTACCCTGGAGGAGAAGGAGGGGGGAGGGTGTTGCGGGTAAACACAGGCACTGGTTGGGGTTGGGGTGGGGTGGGGGTGGGAGTGTTAGAGGAAGCAATGGAAAAAGGAGAAAAAAACAGGGAGTAAAGGATGTTTGAAGGGGTGGATTCATAGTCAGTGCTGATACTTATCTCATCATTTCCCAAGAAATCCTCCTAGTGTTATGTTGTGCAGCAGTAGAAGAGAAAAAAAAACAATAAATACACTGTGCAGCTTATTGCATTCACATGTACTAATAGGGGCACATTTACACAAAGAAAGAGAGGATGATCTAAAAAATATGGGTATTGCACGGAACCAACAATTCTGTACCTCATATTTGTTGAAGAAAATCCTTTTTTAGCTCTACATTTGTGGGAGTGAACAGAAAGCATTGCAGTTAAAAATAGCCTTGTACCACTGCAGACCAAAATTAGATGTCCAGGTTCTTTTTCTTTTGTATATTAGGTTAAAAATCTAAATCAATAAAATTTACATTGATGGTCTTTTTTTTTTCTTTAAAATTTGAATATGGCTAAAATATGAAAAAAAAACATAATTACATGCAGCATATTTGTCCTAGTTTCAATTTATTAACGTGTAGTGGAGTGCATGCTCCCTTGCATGTGGTGTAGTGATGGTGGTGAGTCATACAGTTATGGGAAGTATGCTTGTCAGGGCCATCTGGCATTTGAATTATTAAGGATGCAAAATCTGCAGTTTTGAAATTTCTCTTATGGTTCACTTCTTCATTACACTTATCTCTCTATTTTTTTTTATCCAAAAGACAGGCAGTGTCTCTCTAAATCTCATTGTGTGAACTAGAAGTAAACTGTGATATGGCCAGTTTCAAAAAGTGGCAACTAAACTAAACTAAACTAACATTTTGCACTGCACTGCACTGTACAGTAGTGTCTAGGAAACTGTGCTAAAGCACTGCTGCACACATCTAAAGGGATTCATTTTGCAATTTTACGTCATCACTATCAAAAAGCAGCTCCGCAGTTTGTGACCCAGATATGATAGTAAAATACAGTTCTCTGCTATACATGTGACCCAGAAACATGCATATGCCTCAGCTTTTCCAACAGATCACATGCAAAGTGTTGCGCTCACACYGTGACCGATAGTTGACCCACTGTGGTGAGAGTAGTTCTGAGTTAATGCCTGTGATTAATTGATTGATGATAATCCACTTCATTAAATAAATGAAAAAAAAMCCTCTGTGAGATTCAGATGATGAAATGTAAACTTGTTTTTCTTTCTTTTTTATTTCTTTTTGTCTTTAGCAGCTCAAGGATGCAACGAGGACTGCAGGAGGATGCCACCCCCTAAACCCAAGAGGAACCCCAACACACAGTTGAGTGTTTCCTTTGACGAGTCCTACATAAAGAGCCATGGAAGCAGTGGGATTTGCAATGCCAAACCACTCCACCTCACCACATCCCCCTGCGAACGTTACCCCTCGCCCCCACAGACTGACGAGAGTCCCGAAGATGACTGTGAAGATGAACCTGTCTACATAGAAATGGGTGGGATCGATATTGGAACCCGAGAACCCTTAAAGAGTGAGGAGGAGGAGCAGTGTGAGTCTGTGTATGAGGAAATGAAGTACCCAGCCCTGGATGATATGGAGTACCGCTCTGATCCTGTGGGGTGCCGCTCGGCATGCCCGACTCCAGCACCCTATGACYCTGAGCCACTCAGTCGCTGTTCCACACCTCGAAACATTCCCCTCTGTGACATTCCTGCACCTTTTCCCAATCTGCTCACTCACCGGCCTCCGCTCTTGGTGTTCCCACCAGCACCAGCCCAGTGTTCACCCAACTCAGATGAGTCCCCCCTCACACCTTTAGACGTGACCAAATTGCCGATGATGGAGAACCAGTCCTACAGCAAATCACCCACCTCTTCGACTGAGCCTCCCTCGTCGGCTCACCTCCGTAGGGAGCTCACTGCCACCCCAACTCTCACAGTCTCAGGCCGCTCCTCTGCACCTCCACTCCCCTGCACGCTCTACAAATCTTCCTCGTCATCCTCCTATCAACGCAGCCACTCTGCATGCCCATCGCCCGTCAGCATGGGACGTTGTCTCACCCCCCTGAGCCTCATGCGCACGCCTCCATTTGACGCTCCCGTGCCATTTCCCGGAGGGCTCCCACGGAGCGCCTCCGCGACTCCTCACGGCAAAGGTTCTCCACCTCAGGACGGCGCTGGGCGACTCCATGGCTCGATGCAGAATGTGTCGACAGGCCGTTCTCGGACACCTACCAGCCCACTTGATGAACTCACAAACCTGTTCACCACAGGCAGAAACATGCTGAAGAAAAACTCCAGTGGCAGAAAGTCCAAAGAGCCAGGAGAGAGTGAGTCACCTTAAACATTTCTCTTTAACTCCATAATGTTTATATGAACAAAAAAGTACAAGCACTTAGGGTACTTGAAAAGCATAAAGAAAGTTTATACAGTATATCTTGCAACTGAATGGCCACTTGCAAACCAGACTTTTAGAACACATGAAATCAGCTGCAAAGATCAGTACAATTGCAAAAGGTAACATGTCAGTGCTTCAGGTATTCAAACACACAATAATTACTGTTTAGTTTCCTACTTGGTTAAATTCTCTTTGAATTGTGAATTTCTAAAATAACATTAACCCTGCCAAATTCTAAAGCTGCAATTTCTGTAAAATGCTATTGGTTTGATCTAGGCCCCGCCAAGCCAAGTCTGATACAGATCGTATGATTTAATCTGAGGAGATTAGGGACTAAAGCGGACAGCAGGTCTCTCAAACCTACTCATGGCATTAGGCCATCAGGCAGGATTAGTTTTAAATATGTAAACATCATATTTAAATACACATATTTATGCCACACTCAAGACTCTGCCAAAATCCATGTTTCTGCAGATGAAAACAAAATCTGCCAATAAGTGCAAARGTTGCTTAGTTTTGAAAAAAGAAAACAAAAAACGTACAAAACAATAACTCACTTATGCATGTTAATATGCTTGTCATCAGCAAATCTTATAAGATGCATCAAGTCAGATGCAAAATAATTGTTTTGGGAATATTTTTAATGAATAAAAAGTTATGTTTAGCATAAATGTTTTATTAATTAGCTTTAATTTTATGACCCTCCTAGCCAGCTAGTAGATAAGTAAGGTTTGAATCAAGGTATGTCATGCATAAAAATAAATACATGAATAATCAATTATTTTGACCTGCAGATAAACTTTAGAGCAAACATACAACTGCAATGTTAGATCCTTTTTGTGAACATGTGCTTCAGAGTGAAAGAAAATATTAACATTCAAACTAAGTTTTTAATTTGTGCTTTCAAAAACTGGATTCACTGAGTGTCATTTTCTTTTACATGAATAATAAATTACAATGGATCCGTTCAGAATCTACTCATCTATCCTCCTTCAGTGCTCTTAGCAACTACAACATAGCAACAGTGGAAGGAAGAAAAATCTCTGTTTCTTATTTGCAGATTTCCTCCCCATGTGTAATGCAGCCAATCACAGCTCAGGACCAGCAGGTCTACAGAGAAGCACTGAGCAGCTGACAGGGAAAGCAATGCTTCTGAACTCAAATCTATTTCGTCCAATCAGCACATAGTTTTCTCACAATAAAGCCAATCAGACCGCTAGTACAGTTCTGCAGATGGGAAGAGTATAAACCAAAAATAATAATAATAATAAAATACAAATTAATAAAATGAAATGTACATCTCTAAACGTTTATATGTACTAAATAAATGCATGTTTTTATTTTGCTTCTTGTTTGTTAAATAACTGTTTTTTATTAAGAGATCTTTAAATGCCTAAATTTTGTATTTTGGTGCCAGGAATTCTTCAAGATTTTTTTATTTTTTTTATCATATTAACAGCCCTTTCTTCTCTAGACCCACCTGAGTATTAAACCGTTTCCATATGTCAGAACACAATGGGTGGGCTGTTTTAACAAGTCTTTTTAAATTCTTCATTTTTACTTCAACACCTGCGCATAAACACAACATGGGCACTAACAAGTGCTAGCATTTTTTTTAGCAGCTGTAATTTGTTTTACTCATCGAGGGTAAAACAAAACTAAGTGTATTTTTGTGTTGTTTTGGCTTTTTCTGGCTTATATTCTGAGGCAATAGCGGCAACAAAAAGAAGCTTGACCTATTTGCCAATTTGTTAATCACCTCATTCTCTTCCATGCGCAAACACACATGCACAACCTTGCATGCACCCATAATAAAATATATTTAATAACACATGGAAGGATGGTAATGATTGTTGCACACAGTATCYATAAAAAATAACTTTAAGATAACTTGTGTTAATTTTTGGTTGTATGATGAAAATATGTTGTTTTATTAACCATTGGCAATATATTTAAAAGCTGATGTCGTGCATTCCATTTACATAAGAGACAAACAATGGATTTTATAAAAATAAAAAAAAAACAATGACAAAGTGAACATGCCATAGTTGCRAAGTCAATATAAATTTTAAACAGATATGTATAAGTATGTACCAGAAAATAATAGACTATCGATGCTTGAGGTCCCATATTATGTTTGAAATCTCTCTAAGAATTTACTGCCACTTCTTACTCAAGTACTGAGTGACACCTAGTGGATCATTGGTGGCACTGCATAACTGTAACGTGCATAAGATTTACAAATACTATTTTTATTTCCACAATGTTCTGACTGATAATTTGCAATTAACCTTTTTTGATGTTGTTATTTTTTTTTCTTTTGCAGCTGAATCCAAAGGAAAGTCTCACAGTGAATCCAAGCGAGAAGGTAAGGAACGCCACGGTCACGGCAAGGAATCCAAACGAGAGTCCAAGGAGCGCCACAGCAAAGAGTCTTCTCATAGAAAGGAAAGAGAAAAAGACAAAGATAGAGGCAGCAACAGTGTAGATCCCCAGCTTCATAGACGCAACAGTAAAGACCGCAACTATATCAGTGCAGATGCACCACCCGTTTTCCGGGAGAGCAAGGATCAGGCATGCAGTGGACATGATCCAATCCCTGTGAGACGAGACTCCAAAGACAGGGGCTCCAGCTCCTTAGAAACTATACCTTTGATTAAAAAAGACTCCAAGGACAGAGGACTCAGTAATGGTGATTTGATGCCAAGAAGAGACAGCAAAGATCGTAGTGCTGGACATGGAATAGAGTCTTCACTGAGGCAGGACAGCAAAGATCAACCACCCGAGCTATTACCAAGACAAGACAGCAAGGAAAGAACAAGGAATGGTATAGACTATAAACATGAAAGCAGGGAGAGACTGCTGGATCAGCCACCTGAGCTCTTACCTCGACAGGATAGTAAAGAGCGAGGCAAAAATGGTATGGACTCGAAACATGAAAGCAGAGACAAGGCACCAGAGCTTTTACCTCGACAAGAGAGCAAAGACAAATCTAGAAATGCACCAGAGTATAAACATGATAGCAAAGACAATCGCCCTGATTTGTTACCCCACCAGGAGAATAAAGATAGAGAAAGAAGTGACACTGAACAAAGATATGAAGGAAGGATTGATCAGCCACCTGAGATTCTGCCTCGACATCAAACTTCCAGAAACAACAAGGAGAGGGCTGAACAAAAGTACAAAGGGAGAGAGCCAAGCTGCCTCAATGGAGATGTTCCTCCCCCTCTTTTACCCAAACAGGAAAGCAAAGATCTGAGCAGAACTGGCCTTGAGGTGAGAAGAGACAGCAAAGACCGAAGTCTTAATGGCTCTGAGCAACATCACTATGATATGAAGAGCACTAAGAGTCCTCCTGCAATGGAGTATAGGTGCGAAAAAGAACGTGAGTACAAATTAGATGGCACACCACGAAGAGATAGCAGAGAAAATCGCAAAATGGACCAAACCAAAGCACAAGAAAAGAATGGTAGCACAAGGTCAGGACAGCACTCATCAACAACTACACCTACTCACCACGGAAGATCATCGGGTAGCCCACCGATGACCACAGAAATGCGAAATGGTAAGAACATTTTTCACTGTAGATTCAAGAGAGAAATAGATCAGCGTCTTTGGTTCTTTCAAATAGAAAAAAAAATAAAATAAAAATATTTTTTATGCTGACAGAAAGGTTAACATATTTC